CCATTTTTTTTTTTGTAGTGCGTTCTGCTGCTTTGTCTTTTTTTGTTTTACATTTTACTTTTTTGACAATAATATTCCCGTCTTGAACTCAATCGCTCACATGGAGGCTCACATTCTCGTATGCACTTACTTTCATTTATCTTTGTTTACCATTTGGGTTGGACGGAAAAATGTCAAGTAGGCAGTAAGCGACAGCGGAATGTGTTGAAAATGTCTAATACTCATTAAATGAGAGCGATGAAGTGGCGGAGTGGAGTGCGGGCAGTATTTCATATGTGCAGAAGTACATCAGTCGTACAGAGCCTGCCAAAGTCTCTAGCCTTTGTGGGCAGAGCAGAGTTCACAAAATGAAGAGAGATTTCTTGTGAGAATTTAGAAAAATGACGAAGCCGAGAGCTTTTCAACGATGATATTAATTCTAATAAATTTTCTTTTCTCTATGAATTTCTTTATCATTGCGGATATCTGCCACGCAGCAAGCCCTTTACAGAGCTTTTAACAACTTCTCTCAACGGATGCAATGTCATGGAAAGGAACAGAAATGGCAACCCTTGCTGTGAGCTCATAATAATGGATAGCATAACTCTTGGTGCTATCAAACCCCAAATAGTTAAGCCTTCTGTTGACGTTAGGTGTGAAATCAAGGTGTGTATAGCACAGAGGCATATGAACATGTTGGCCGCAAGCATTCCGTCAGTACTGTTTGCTCGCACACTTGCCAGACCAACACCCAAAATTATCGAAAATTAATTTGTCTCACTCCGATCGCCGCTCGGCAAGAGATGTTAAGCCCTTGGAGTGTACTCCTGACATGAAATAAACGAATATGGTATGAGGTTTATGAATTTTCTAATCCAACGCCAGTAATTTGATAAAAACACTCCTTTTTCGTTATCTGGCTTTATCCAGAACTCGTATTAGATAACTTGGAAGGTCTAATGGATGTGTCAAAATTAGTTATTAAATCTCTCTCTCGCTATCTCTCTCTCTCTCTCTCTCTCTCGCCATCTCTCTCTCTCTCGCTATCTCTCTATCTCGCGCGCTCTCTCTCTCCCTCTCTCTCTCTCTCTCATTTAGAGTTAGTAAGAACTTAATCCCTCTATGTGTAGGTAGAAGCGAGGATCTATTCCTCTGCCATTAAAACCTTCCCAAGATCCAAGAACCTCGTTTAGAACTGTGGATTATAATTGTAGGCTTGCAAAAAGACCTAAGAACTAATCCTAAAATTTAAAGCAGTTTTTTTTTCTGTTCCGAGAACTTATTGATTCGAAGGAAAACGAGCAGCAGATAAAAATATTCTCCACTAAGCTGTAGGTTGTCTCAATAAATCGAAGTTCGTCAGAATTCATCACATCTCTACTCCTTACCTAATACCTTGATTTAGAAAGAATAATCACAGTTTTCGACAGGTAACTGCAAAGAAGCAGGAGAAAAAAAAATATTCCTCACTATTTTTTACGCTGCTGCTGCCTACTGGCGCAATTAAGCTCTGGATATTGTAGTCGACTGAAAACCTGCTCATCTAACCACCTTTCCCTCTGGTCCTAACTCGTTTCCTGGACCTTCCTCTGAATGACCTGAATGAAATTGTCTGCTCCTAAGCGAGGTTGGACTAACCGCTACAACAACAACAACATTATCTCATTATCTGGTGGTTACATCTTGAGGTGAAGGGAAAGTGCTGCCCGTGTCGTAGTTCAAGCGGCTAGTAGGAATTACGTGCAGAAGTACCACTCTATAGAAAGTCTCTAATTTAAACGTACAATCGCAGCTAAATAACCCATTAATCCACTTTGTACTAACGAGCGCGGGAATAAATTTGCTTCGAGGCCTTCCATTTTGGAGCGCTCACTTATACAGAACACAGCCTCCTCGCCTTGTAGCTCAATTTATTTCCAACTCACTCTACCAAGCAACCACTTAACCTAAATAAAAGTAGTTTTCCAAAAACAAAAACAAAAAACTTTATATCCGTCACACTTACAATAAATGATGCATTATCATCAGCCTACCATAGTAACTATAATATAAATAAATATAATGCGTATCTCACTCATCAATTGTCATCATTGACGGTAAATATAATATTTGTCCAATGTTTTGATGACGTAGCAAGAAGGAAAGTGTGAAATATTCTATTTATCATCTGAAATTTACTGAAATGTCATTCGCAAACAATATGTCAATGGCAATCAGCTGTTTGTCATTAAGAGCAGCACACGTACGTACATATACACTAAGTACAATACATGCAGACACAGGCATACAATGGCATAATGACACATCCGGTGCGAAAACATCTTCACAGAACTTTAAATTATTGTCGGGAATGTGTGCGCCACACTGTGTGTATGCGTGTGTGTGTGTTCAAGAAAGTGCTGATATCATCATTTGAGATTTTCTTTCGAATTTCAATTAAAAACACAAAATAAAAATAAATTAAATTATTGTAAGATTTGTTTTTTCTCCTATCTGGTTTTCACTGCCAAACAGATTTTTTATTATTGTTTTAATTAAAAATTAAAAAAAAAAAAGAATTCTACAAATTTATAGCAGATACTCTTTAGCATAACGTGAGAAATGATGGTTGAATGTCACTCACTGTCAAGTTGCTGTCAGTCATCAAATTAATAATTGAAACAATTAACTCACTAGACAAGAAGAAGAGAGTTCTAGTTGCTTTTGAATTGAAGTTAAACAGATTGAATCCGCTATTTGATGGGTTACTAAAATGGCTATGCACTGATGTGGCTTCGTAAATGACTACCACATACAAACAAACCTACACCACATTCCACTTCAACCACCCATTAAATAGGGACAAAAAAAAATGAGAAAATATGATTGCTCGTTGCTTGTCAATTTACAAATTGTGTTGTCTTAAGCATCAATTAGACGCGATCACCCTTGAAAAAATATTTAAAGAGTTCAGTTATAAAAGGCAGAACCTTTATATATAAATATTAAATGCATGCACTTTTTCCATTTGTATGAGTAATTGATTTAAATAATTGAGTGCATCATACGCACATGCATACAACTGCAAAGTAGTAACATCATCCTACCGTTATAAAGCTTTATGGAAAAACGATGCTGAAATGATAAGATTGCTGAGTAGCAAATGCAAAGCAACAAGAAGGGTCGCTTTTTATCTTGTTTGAGGAGCGCTTTAAGCACATAAATTATACACTTTAGCAAATATACAGTGGCGAGGAAAAATATGTGCTTTCTATGCCATCTGTGTTATCTTAATTAAAGACTTTTCCTTTCAATTACATTTTTTATTTCTTTATTTATTATCCCACACTTCTGATTTCTTTTATGCCCTACCTCACTTAGCATACAAACTTATGCGTAATACTTGCCAATGTCTATGTGTCTTTTTTAATTTACCAGTTCTGCCCTGAATATACTATATCCTATACTTAACATTCCACTTCTGATTTTTTATATATTATCCCAATCAATTTGTGTGTGTGAAAGCTTTTTTGAAATGTCAGAATTTAAAAGAGTTTTACTTACCGATTCCGACCGAAGAGCGCAATCGCCACGCATCTACAATAATATATCTAAGCCTAATATCCCACTTTTGATTTTGTATATGTAAACATTTTAATACTTCTCGTCTAGTGCGCCGCTGTCAGAATTAAATGTTCTGCAACTTGCTATTACTTACCAATATTATACATTGGACGTGAGCCTATTAGCATCTTAGACACTAATCGCCAAAAACCTTAAGCTACCACCTAATCGCCAAAAAATTAAGCTACCACTTTTCTTGATAGTTCAAATGTTTCACCGATTAGCGGTCCATAAGGCCTATCCAAAAAAGTTAACTTCACTATAAACATCTTTGTTATTTGTATTTGTTGCATATTCTACTTCTTATATTATTTTTAAAACCATATTCCACTTCTGAATTTTTAGTTCTTAACCTACAGAATGCTATGCTTATAACGGTCCCACATAAAATTCGTAAATATACCATATTCTACTTCTGATTATAAAAAGCTTAACTTATAGATAACTTTGATTTTCAGTCTGCCGTCTAAAATCCCTACATAAATAATATCTCTCTTCTGATTCTTACTTTCCTTACTTTACTTACTTTCTTACTTTTGCATTCTGATTATATTGGCAAATGCTTCTCTCTATGCACTTATCTGTAGTAATCTAAAGCAGTTCATTATGAAAGAAGTTCGAGTGAGTACTTAAGTCATCACTTACCTGGTACTAGATTTCCAGACCGCAAACGTATTCATTCTTACCCTATGAGCCTATTCTGCTTTTTTGCTTTTGTTAGATTTCAAATAATCGTTGGAAATTGTTGATCATCTGACACATTTTGGCAATCATTCGAGTCGCAATTTAAGTTCAACTCAAAACTTTGGCCACCAAAGTTTTACGCTCAGCTCATTCTAATCACTCGCGTAATTCGCAGATTCCAAATCTGTTCAGTGAAATGTTCAACAACACTGTACTTCCGCACCGTTATTTGTCAAACACGTTCAAATATTGTATATTATTGCACTTGAAAGGAAGAAAAAGTGAAAATAAAACAAAAAAAACAAGGAGTGCATTTTTAATTGCAACCAACCACTTTGCCACCCACTTCACCAGCAAAGCAATAGCGACGCCAACAAACTCATAACATTCATTGTCTGCAGTTAACAGTCATGGCCACAGAGAGAGATCCTTGTACAATATATGCATGTGCAACATATGAATTTGTCAGCCTGGTTAACTTAATTCCGAACGTACCTGCGGCTATTTGACGCGTACCGCACGTTACCTTATCTGAAAACAAGCAAGCAACAAGCTGATAGGAAGCAATGTAAAACGAAAAATATACACACATACACACAAACATATTTACTCATAAATATATGTACATCCTTACTTATGTTGTACGTAATTGTTTGTAGGCAGTATTGCAACATGTTCATTAACTTTACCCTCTTTTCACTCTTTCGTGTTTTTTTTTCTGCTTTGTTTTACAGGCGACCAACCGTTCGACCACTTTTCTTCATACTGCAGAGGATTATAAATGAAGTATGTATCGTTGTTGTTGTTGTTATTGGTGTTGTTGCATTAGTGGCACAACTACCTAAAAACAGCTGCCTTACTACAGCAACAAACAACAACGACAACGGATAACAACTGCAACGGCTTAACACGGAGGAACGCTTGCAAATGAACAGCCAAGTTCGGCGCACAAATTGGCAGCAGCAACAACAACAACAACAACAACTACTACTACTGAGTACATACATACATACAACATTGCAAGGAAGCAAAGCAGAAAGCAGTAACAGCGCGTGCATTTTATTATTATCTGCTCGCATTGAATTACAATACAAATGTACATCCGCTACCTACAGGTCGGCGCAATCTGCAGCTTTGTAGTGCACACAAACATACAACATACACAGCATACCAGCGAGCGAGCGCATCGCATTGTCGACCTTTTATTTCATTTTATTTTCACTTTGTATTCTGTGTACTGTTTTTTTTTTTTTTGTATTTGTTTTTTTTTTTTTTGTTCATAATAGAAAATACTTTATGTAGCAAAGTGGTTGCCTGTGTCTTTTGCGCCTACCACCGACTGTGTGGAAATTATCAACCACCAAATGCAGCAAAAGTAATTTCAATATAGTGTTTGTTAATTTTTATTTTTCTATTTTTTTCTTCTTCTTCCTTCTTGGACGGTGCACATCAATAACTCCGCAATAGCAAATGCAACTCTATGCTCAAACGGCCCCGTTCACAGCGTTGCATTGACGTTAGAACATTCGATTAGCAGACACGTAACGCATAACGTAGTGATTAGTGGTGTAACAAATATGTGACATGTTTAACGAATGAAAAATAATAGATAATAATGAAAGTAAATAACGAATTAAAATAAAATTTATTAACTGCGAAAAAATACGAGACACAAAAAAGAAAAAATAAAACAAAAAGTTATCAACACAACTGGAAAATTCTTGGCACGTGAGAATGTGAAAATGGCACAACTGTTTCTTTGTGTCCAAAAACAACAACAACGATTACAAATAAAAAAATTCCAAAACAATTATTTGCGTGAAAATAACATAACGAGCGTGTTGCCACATGCTTGCGACACAAACCAACAACAAATAAAATATGTGAAATAGTTTAGCGCGAAAAAACAACAACTAGAAGCAATTAAGTTTTACAAACAACAACACAATACAACAGCTAGTTGCCACAACTTGCCGCAAAACACCAAAAAAAAAAAAAAAACCAAAGTGAAAGCCTTGCCAGCAGCTAGCGGAATTCAATTGAACGTTAAGAAGAAAAGTATAAAAGAAAAATCAATTAAAAACCAAAGTGTTACACAATAAATGTGAAAAATAAATAAAAAACAACAAAAACACAATAGCTGCTAAAAAATATAAAACATAGAAGCATTTTTGAGCAACAGCAAACCGCAAAAATTATATGAAAACAACATAAAAATAATTAAACACAAAATCACATAAAATTTCAAGCGCCACCCCACATACACGCGCGTACACCGGTACATACAGACCAACACTTCCTTGCGCGCTATTTTAATGTGCGGAAATGACGCACCTGCAACCCCAACGTCGCTACCACTCTCCTATGCGTTTTAAAGGAGGAGGTGGTTGTGATGGTGGCACTGTTGGCAGTGATGCTGTTGCATATAGTATAAGCGCAAATGTCAGAGCGGTGAGCAGTAGTGGTGGTGTCAGCAGCAGCAGCAACATCAACAGCAACAGCAGTGAAAGTGCAACTGACGGTGTCGAAACAGTGTTTAACACTGCGGCTGTTGCGCTCGATTACTGCAGTAATGTTGTAAATGCGCCTCTCCACACTTCGCCATCATCGTCGTCGCAATACACCACCCTTGCCAGTGTTAGTGGTAGGCGCGCGCATATAACACGCGTCAGCCTGTGCCCCAACCGCCACGACCAACACCAGCGTCAGCGCCACCACCACCACCTCAGCACAAACCAACTCATTCCAGCCATTCCTTCACGTCGTCGTTGTCGCCCTCACTGCGTTCGCCAACATCGCTCTTGTTGGCTTGCGTCGTCGTCGTCGTTGTTTTGTGTACAACATTTCCTACTACTCGCCCAGCTTTTGCTCTTCGCCTGCGGCGGTTTCCTTCAGGTTGCCGTTGCCGAGCCATATGGTGGCTCTTCATCTTCGGTGGGCATACATATACCAGGCGGCAGTTTGGGTGTGATTAGTGAATCCCGCTGTCCGCGTGTATGTTCGTGTAATGGTCTAACTGTGGATTGTTCGCATCGTGGTTTGACGCAAGTGCCGCGCAAAATATCGGCGGATGTGGAAAGACTGTAAGTAGAAAGAAAAACATATGTAATTTTACAAAATATTTATGTACAATAGATATGTATAAAGTACTTGTTGATTTTTACCTTTTTTTATGTGCATTAGTATATTTTTATTTCAAAAAGGACTTTCAATATTGCTTTGAATCTATTTCTCTGGCCATTATACTTGAAGTTCGTTGTGTTTGGCAACTTTGCATCAGCAAAAAGTTCAATCAACATCTAATCAGTTATTTACAATAGCAAAGTATAAACTCTAAATGAAACTCCTACACTTTTATTTCTAATAAATGAAAAAAGTTTATTTTAGTAATTAAAAAAGTTTTCAGACGCACAGTAAAGTCTAGAGAAGCCTTGAAAAGCTTTCGCTTGCATGATGGCAGATAGCCTCTTTATTTGTATACATATTTATTACCAGTTCAATTTATATTCAATTTTATATGCGTAAATTTTGAAATCTACTAGTTTTTAAAATATTTAAAAGTAATAAACTTCCGAAATATTATGCTTAAAAATTGGCGAATTCCGTTTGAATGAATTCACGCATTGTCGGTAACAGAGTTTGACAGCTTAGGATCAGTGCTGCCAAGTCCTTCAGTAGTAAACGCAGGCATTGGAGAAATGTGCAAATCATGCCGGCATCATGCCATAACTTAAATTTAGGTTCAATTATAATAAATTTTACGTATTTATTTAAAACACAATATAGTATATTTTTTATTCGTTTCAATAAATGCACCGTTTAATGAGTTATTTATTTACATAAATTTCGTTAAAACCTTGAGGTTCAACAAAACTACAAGTTGAACACTGGTGCGCGGTTAGTAAAAAAAAAAACAAATTTAAACTAATTAATTTGGCAGCATTTACAAATGATTTTTTAAAATTCACAGCATTTTTAAACAATTTAATAAAATTAAAAAAAAAATATGATTATCACGCAATTTCCGAACAAATTATTTTTCGCCAAAACTATTATTTCTATTATCGTGTTTTTGTGCTTTTTAAATTTTTATTTTTGTGTTCTCTTTGACTCGAACCATCTAATGATAATGATCGTTGGTACCAACAGTACAATAGTTTGAGTTGATGTCGACCTGAATGGCTGATGACCCCAAATTGCGATAATTGCAAATTGTGCCATACTCGTCGTCCGTACTGGCAAATTACAGTTCCATCATTATTCTCTTGCTCTGTACTTTTTACAGACAGTCCGGTTTCGAACGTGACGGCTAACAACGAACGAGTTAACTGTTGTGATAGGAAATGTTTTTTTTTTCTCCTCTGCTATTTTTAAATTTCTTTTTTTTCATGATCTAAAGACATCGCAAACTTTTGTGAAATGAGAGAAAAAATTGTTGCTAAACACTATAATAGGAGGCCATTAGTGAATATACTACATAACTACGAGTACATATGTATGTACATACAAAGATTTATGTCAAAATATACAAAATTACTCACGATTTTTAAAAGCATCTTCAAGTTTTGGTGAAATATCACTGAAAGTTTACGAAAAGAAAATCACTGAATTCAAAAAAAAAAAATAATAAAGAATTTAAAGAAGTTTTAGTCTCACTTTTTGGCTTAAACCCATCCAAGCTACACTTTTCTTACTTGTGCCGCATAAAGAATCAATACAAAATAATAGAATTGTACCCTCCGCTAAAATTATTCCGTTGTTAGCGAAATATCAACTCTAGAGCAGGGTTTTGGATGTTACCTGGCAACTCATCGGCCCGATTTTCACTCCTTCAACGCATTTAATTGGGTTCGACAAAGATTTCGTTCGCTTTGCTTGGAAATTTATGGTGAATCTTGCGGGCTAGTATGAGGCGGGCAGTTATTTAATCAACTCAGCTCAATATTTTTTTTTTTAATTCAATTCGCGGGATGGCCCACCCAACTACAATTTTATCCATTTACTTTCTTTACCTAATTTATCTTACTTAAATTAAAGTCTTAACGAAATCAAAAAAAAACGAAGATTCTTCAACTTTAAAATCGCCCATTCGCCGCGACTGTCTATTGTTAGGGAATTAAAAAGGAATTTGTAAATTCGTGGGACAGAACAAAACCAGCAATTTAACGCTAATAAAAGAGACGTCCAACCCAATGACTCCTCGGTGAGTAGTTAGTTAGTTAATTTTGAGTTATGCATCTTGTAATCATTTTTACAGGCAATTTATGTGTAGTTTCTCACAGGCCGACAATTACATGCATACAGACATAAAAAAAAGAGATAACATCACAAATGTTACTTCCTTAAATTTTTTGAATAACAGACCGACAGACAGACAGACAGACAGACAAGCCGATAGACAAACATGCGTTTGTACAAATTATAAATATATATATATATATATTATACAGATGTACTTGTATGTTTTATATGCTTTGTTACCAAACATAAAAGATATAAAAGATGGGAATCTCGCGACGCTAATGAGCAGCAAGCAGCAAAAACAAATTCGGTGGCGGTGTTTTATATTTTTTCATTTTTTGTTGATTTTTTATTAACCAATTTAAAAAAACAAAAAAGGAAAATGCAATAACTATTACTTAATATTACCTTATGTATAAAAAAAGTTAGTTAGTTAGTTGAATAAAATAAAAAAGTTTAAATAAAAAATAAATAATTTATAAATTTAAATTATTTAAAATAAAACAATATAATCTGAGAAAAAACCTTGCTTTTGATAAATTAATAGTGAAAAACAATAAATTAAATTTAAATTAAAAAATATATATGAAATTAAAACAATAAAAAACATTAAAAAATTAATTAAAATAAATTAAACTCCAAGAAAATAAAACTATATATGAAAAGCTTAAAAAAATAAAAATAAATTAATTAGCTAATATACAATAAAATAAATTAAATTAAACCAAAAAATATGACGTAAAAAATTAATTAATTAAATTTAATGTAATAAAATAAAATAATAAAGAAAAAGCATAAAAATTAAGAAAATAGCACAGAACAAATAAAACTAAATAGTTTTAATTGAAATTAAATTAATTATTAAAATAACTTAAACTTAAGTTAATTAAAATAAACCAAATTTGAAATATATAAGTAAAAAAAAAAATAGAAATTACATGTTTAATTTTAAATAATAAAAAATATAATAATAAAAAATATAATAAAAAAAAATAAATAAAACAAAATAAAATTAAGAATTAATTCAATTAAATTAGATTACTTAAAATATTAGAGAAAATAAATTAAATTAAAGTAAAACAGAAAATGAAAAAATAAAATAACCAAATATAATAATAAAACTAAAAAATTAAATAAATTTAAAAATTTAGTGAAATAATTCATAATGAAGTAAAATAAATAAAACCAAAAAAAAAGAAATAATATAAATTAGATTTAAAAAACTTAAACAGGAAAATTAGAAACAAATTAAAAACTAGAATGACAAAAAATACATTAAAAAAAATTTTATTAAATAAAATTAAAATTAATTAAATAAATGTGAATTCAAAAGTAAAATTAAATTTAAATGGAAAAAAATAAAATACAAATAACATAGTCAAATAGAATAACCTAGGAAAAAAGATTAGATAAATTTGAAAAATATAATAAAATAAAAAGGAAAAAAAATAACAAAATTAAATTAAAAAAAACTATTAAATAGAAATAAAATAACTGAATTAAAATAAATTAAAATTAATTAAAGCAAAGGAAAAAAGTAATATAAAATAATTAAATGAAATATTAAAGTAAAATATATAAAAAGAAAAATAAAAATAAAATAAGTAAAAAAAATAAAAATAAAATAACTGACATAAAATAAATTTCAAATTAATTAAAAGAAATAAAAAAGGTAAAATTATAAAATAATTAAGTAAAATATATAAAATTAAAAATAACAATAAAATAAATACAAAGAAAAATAAAAATAAAATAACTGAATTAAAATAAATTAAAAATTAATTAAGCAAAGAAAAAAAGTAATATAAAATAATTAAGTGAAATATAAAAAATGAAAATTGAAAACAAAATATATCAAAAGAAAAATAAAAGTAAAATAAATAAAAAAATAAAAATAAAATAAAATATCTGATCTAAAATAAATTAAAAATTAATTAAAAGAAATAAAAAACGCAAAATTATAAAATAATTAAGTAAAATACATAAAAGAAATAAAAAACGCAAAACTATAAAATAATTAAGTGAAATATATAAAATAAAAATGAAAATAAAATAAATAAAAAGAAAAATAAAATAAAATAACTGAATTAAAATAAATTAAAAAATAATTAAAAGAAATAAAAAAAAGTAAAATTATAAAATAATTAAGTAAAATATATAAAATTTAAAATAAAAATAAAATAAAATAACTGAATTAAAATAAATTAAAAATTAATTACAAGAAATAAAAAATGGTAAAATTATAAAATAATTAAGAAAAAAAAATAAATTAAATATAAAAATAAAATAAATACAAAGAAAAGAAGAAATAAAATAAAATAAATTAAATATTAATTAGAAGAAATAAAAAAGTAAAATCATAAAATAATTAAGTGAAATATATAAAATGAAAAATAAAACTAAAATAAATAAAAAAAACAAAAATAAATACAAAGAAAAATAAGAATAATATAAAATAACTGAAATAAAATAGATTAAATATTAATTAAAAGAAATAAAAAAGTAAAATCATAAAATAGTTAAGTCGAAACCGCACTAAGATGAATTACGACAAATCAAGACCCGAACTTCTATAACAGAAGCGCTCTAAAAAGCTTGTAGATACTCGTATAACTGCATATTTGCTCTCCTGTACTGTGTGTGTGTGTGTGTGTGTGTGTGTTATGAGAAACAATTATGTATTGCAACATTCAACCTCAAATCGAAAAAAACAACAAAATTGTTTGATCTTTAATCATATTTGAGCAGGTACACGAAGCAAATAAATATTTTCCATACGAAATACCAACTCAATACTTCTGCATATTAACGTTTGCTTGCTTGCTTGCTTTTACAACGTTCT